AGAGAGAGAGAGAGGGAGAGAGACAGACAGAGACAGAGAGAGAGAGAGACAGAGACAGAGAGAGAGAGAGAGACAGAGAGACAGAGACGGAGAAGGAGGCCACAGCGGACGCCAGCCATAGGTGCCGAGCTCGGCGAAGAAGACGACCAACAAGAGAAGAGGAAGAAGTGACGCAGAGAGAAAGAAGAAGGAAGTTGATGAAGAGGGAGGTGAAGCAGCCATAGCCAAGATGTAAGAAGAAGAGGGCGACGAAGGAGAAGGTTGACCACCATAGCCAGGAGGTCGGAGGGTTGACCAGGGAGGTTGACCAGCGTTGACCGGAGTTGACCGGAGTTGACCAAGGCCGACCGGAGTGTTGACCAAGATTGTTGACCAGCGTGTTGACCAGAGCGTTGACCAAGCTGGAGCAAGAACACGAGCAGTATTATCCCTCCAAGCCTTGGCCTAGCCCTTACCCTGTGGATGTGCACCCTCACCTTGGTACTTGCTGACGTCAGGTCTGTCAAAGTCAGTCATATCTCCCTATCACTTTTGTCCAGGTCGATAGGACTCTATGGATGTGGTCGTAGAGCTGCGAGCCCAAACCCACAGAGGACTTAGTAAGGCTAAAGGCCGCGTCTGACGACTGACACGTCCCGAGAACAAGACCCCCAAGGACCAGTACTGACCGGCGGCCTGGTCAGTGTGGCGTGGTAGGCCCGAACTCCGAGTTGTGGGTTGTGCGTCAAGCTGTCGAAGTCTTGAGAGGACTCAGCTGATCGCGTCGTCATGTCTGCGACGTTAAAGAAGTCTTGAGGGGCTATGGGGGATCTCCTTAAATGCCTCCTGATCAGCCAGTGAGTCCTTTAGTGACAGCCTAGAGATGCGAGTAGCGGATAGGAAGTCCTTTAGACGTGAGTCCAAACTGGTAGGTCTACGTGTTGAGGAGCGGAATCGTCTCTGATTGTGCACTTTCACCATGGTGACCACCAGGTCCAGAGTTAGTACCACCCCCTATAGTAGGGAGCAAGAAGAGAAAGTTGTCGCCCTTCTGAGAGAAAGAAAGGAGAAGATGGAAAAGAGGGAACTAATTAAACAGGCGAAGATGGTAGCCATGCGAGAGGAACATGAGGCGAAGAAGAAGCAGATGGAGGAAGAAATGGAAAGGTGGAAGAAGGCGCAGGGGGAGAAGATAGCAGCAATAGAGGCAGAAGTAGAGGAATAAGAAGAAGTTAAAGAAGAGGAGCCGCTGGAGAGGAGGGGCGAGGCGAGTACGAGTGGAACCTCCCCAGAGGACTGAGAGGAGGTAGATAAGAAGATTGATGAGTGGGTGGCGCACATCAAGCTGGGGGAAGATCGAGAGACCGAGTTGGTGATACCCCCAGAGGAGAGAGAAGCGGCAAGAACGGAGTTGGAGGCAGAAAGGGACCCTTGCGGAGAAGAGCGAAGGAGCAAGAACAACAGTTGGCATGGAAATGGCGTTTATCCCAAGAGAGAGTTAGACGTATGGAAACGACAGAAAAGGACAGAAAGGGATTTAAAAGCAGCAGAGACCGGGATGGGGAAGATCAGGGAAGAAACTGAGATAGCAACTAAGCTTGATACTTGACACATAGTGTAGAATCCCTAATGACCGCGCAGCGCGAGCAGATGCAGCACCTTCGTAGTCATGATATCATGTTAGAGGCGATGCGCGTTGGATTCACAGATTTTGCACGTGATATGATGGAGTACTTAACGGACCAAGTCCACCTCGCGATCTGTAAGACTGAAAAATTCTGCACGAGCGCCATTGAGGGTGCCAAGATGGCGGCTTTCGAGGAAGAGGAGTCTGCCCCACGCCGCGAGAAGGTCAAGGTCCGTTTCCCTAAGCCCTTCAATGGAAAGAAGGGAGAGGACTTTGACAATTGGGAGGCCAATGTAAACTCCTACCTGAACTTACAGGGTGTCGCACCAGAAGACCATGTTTTGGTGGCCTTCCAGGCATTACGAGACGAAGCGACCAGCTTTGCGAAGTCGCTAGCGCGGGCCGCGAATTGTGACAATGATATGGTCACGTATTCAAGACTCACGCCTTTGTCTCAGTTCCTTAAGTCTCTTAGGGAACGGTTTTCGGACATCACGCGGGGGCTTAAGGCCTCTGATAAATTACAGATGATCCATACACGCCAGTGGAAGAGTGTGCATGCACTCAAATCGGCTATGGATGAGTTGATCGTTATGCCTGGGCATGGAGTAACTGATGCCCAGCTACTCCAACTCTTTTATCGTGCCCTGCTCGAGCATGTGCAAGGGCATTTCTTTGAGAAAAAGCAACAACCAGGGATGACTTACGATGTGCTCAGTAGGGAGGTTGTAGCCTTCGCCGCTCAAGCATCGCTAGTTACCGCATTTTGGCACAAAGATCTAACAAAAGGAAAAACATGGAAGGGACGCAGCATCTCAGGCCAAATTAAGGCCAAAGATAGTCTAATTCTCACGATGGAAGAAGTTGGTGCAAAGGAAGTTCCCTACTCAGACATTGAGTGGGGACTTGAGGAGGGAGGCAGTAGTGTAGACCAGGGGAGAACCTACGTTGCTGTCGCGGCCGGAGGGAGGCCGCAAAGAGGAGGACGAGGGCCTGGCCGGAATGGTCGGGCCCTAGGTGGCCAAGGGCAAGACGGCCAGGGGGTTGGCGGTAACAGGAACTGTCAAGAGGGAGGCAGGGTTCAAGGTCCCCCGTCTAACTGTCCACGCCAGAGTCGGTCACCTCCCAGACAGGGATGGTGGCACCCAGGTCGGGCCGAGGGACGACCTTGGGAAGACTTGGGAATTGAGCAGAGTGTGTGGCAGGGTCGTATAGATAGGTCTCAATGTGTATTCTGCGGGGATCCTGGCCACATCATCAAATTTTGTCCCAAGTATAGGAGTCGTGTTGCTTCTGGGGCAGCAAAAGACAGTCGTCGGTAGGGGTCGCAATTGCCTCTACCCTAGGAGTATGTGGATCTGAGTGTGCGCGCAAAGCAGAGTCTCCCACTCCACATATCTCCATGGCAGAGGTTGTCGGCCGGCGTCTAGTAAGTTGTCCAGAGACAGCTTGTGCCATAGTCTCTCTACACGCTTCTCTCACAGGCTTAGCTGATGAATTGAAGGAGAGGAGGCAAGCCTGGTCCAAGATGAAGGAGAATGGAAAGGACAATTAGTCCTCGTAGACGCAGAGATTTTTAGAGCTAGAGTAGGAGTTGTTATAGATAGTGGGGTGACTAGGAGTTATATTAGTCGCAAGGCGTTGAAAAAGTTAAGGCTCGGACTGAAAGTCAAACAACTGAGGGAACCTGTAGTCAGCATCCTCACAGACAACAGTAGGATGCAAGTTGAGGAATAAGTCAAAGGAGTCCAAGCGTATTTCCGCCCAACGAAGGAAGGGAAAGTAAAGAATGTTCATCACTCCTTGACTCTTCTCGTAGAAGAGAATCTCCCGTGCAATTTAGTTTTGGGTACAGATTGGGGAGAGGCAGCAGGAACCACTTTGCACCTTAGAAAGCACGAGTGCAAGCTCCCGAGTCCGTCATGCGAAGTTAAGCAAGTTTGCCTGTACCATGAGTCTGGGGTAGATAATCCCCTCGCACATTGCTGCCTCATCGCTCGTGCATTTGCCAAACTTGTGCGAAAGGAGCAGCTCGAAGAGCAAGTGTTCGAAGCCTACATTAGACCCGTTTCTGACAAGCCAAAGGAAGAGGAGAAAATTCATCTCATTATTGCCAGTCTGCTGGAAGAATATAAGGACTTATCCGAGTCATATGCAGCCCTTCACCACTTGCCCACTTGCCTGATACTTCCTGACTGACAAGCCTACGACCTTCTAGACTCTACCACCACAACCTACGGACTAAGCGACCCTTAAGCCTTCAAAGACAGGAAAAGACTTCCAAAAGGGGCCCGAGCAAGTCTAACGGTAACATACTAACCTACTAACACGAAGGTTTGTGGATCAAGTCCTGGCAGCTAACGACCAGACCTGCTAACTAACCTACGGGTTTAAGGGACAGATCACGAGTTCACAACTCACTCAGAACACGGGGTCAATGTATAGGGTTCAGGTGCAGGTCTAGGGATCGAATCTCAGTGTCTACAACGGTCGTGTCAACTGGTGAAACCGTTTCACTCCCGCCGTCCTAAATTTGAGGTCCCCCGAGAACACTCTAACTCAAGAAAGGACCTTTACCCTTTCTTACCCTCTCGTAAGCGTGTACTATGTCGGGAGCGATGTCGAGCGCATCGGTCCAGCACCGCACAAGCGGGGGGGGACCCTCCTGGCCTCGTCACGCAGGAGTTGGTCTGATCCTCGTCGCAATGCACGTGGAGCTTCCGCAAGCCACTCCGGTCGAGTGCGCCAGCCATACCTCTCGCGAGCCCCTACAACAGGATAGGGCCTACGCGAGGCACGACTTACCTCCACCTTACAGGAGTTGTCACCTCCCTTCGGTGGGCGTATCCCCGTCGAGCTACGAGTCCACAGTACGAAGCTAATTAGCTGCAATCGCAGAGGTGGACCAGCCGAGGGCGTTTCTCGTTCGCTGTAGCGTAGGGGGTACGCGCGGTTTTACGCCTCTATTGGAACCGCACGCGAACCAACGCCTTGGGGGGGTTGAGGCCCCAAGCGCGACCCGTCGTTGGTCGACTAGGACGCATCCTACACACCACGCGTACACTACTCTAAAGACATAAAAATTAAAACACGCACGCACACACACATATACAGAACGACACAGAAAAAAAAACACAACTACCCTCCTAGTCCCTTCAGTAGCCATCCCATACCTTTCCGATGCGGAAACCGGATGAGCTGCTCATATCGAGACTTAGTATAAAACCGCGCGGATGCAGGGCCTTCTCATATCGACTAGAAATGTATGAATATCCAAGCAGTCACAATGATGGCGTACTATGTAGTGCCCATAATCAAGCGGTCCCTCGTGGGTTCGAGTACCGCTTATGACACTCAAGTGTCAAACTCGAAGTATCGTGAAGGTCTACCCCTTCACGATATTGCACGGCTGAAGGAACAGTCGTGCGGCCTCCGCGGCACCTCCGGCTTTTAGGTCGAGTGTCCCAGTAGGCAGTGCAAATAGGCTTTGCGCGGGGGGGTGATCCCTTCCATGCAGAGTTTAGGACTTGGGATGTCCTGGACAATGACCTCAAATCCAGGCCCAGGACCAACGTTCGACCAAGAAAATCTTTAAGAAGTAAACAACAGTAAAGGGAGGGACTTTCCCTTCCTTTCTCAATCTCAACCCCAATTAAACCCTTAAGCGTGCACTCCTTAGGCCACGCGAAACACCCAAACATATATATATATATATGTATATATATATATATGTAAAGGGGGACCGTCACATACATAAAGCATGTGACGATCACTTCTCACAGTCACAGTGGGACTTTTTTCATCCATATATATACGTATGTGATCGCAGGCAGTCAAATCCAAAGTCCGAACCACAAAACATACCTGCAATCACATGAAAGTGTCAATAGAAGCCCACACACTACACGGGGTCAACTTCAACCATTCTCTATGCTCATACCCCTCACTTTAGTCATGCAAGCCCCAACCTTTGTCCAACCTTCTATAATTAAATACTCAGTACCTTTGTCAACTGGCCATTCAATAAAACCCCAGGTGAAAACCTTAATAAAACAATAGAAATCACCAAAGCTAAAATCTTTTAGGTTGAGTATTGCGTGTTGATTGGAGTTGAGTCGTAGACCGACGAATCGGCAATGACCTGTTATCAGTGATAACAGAAGATGATCCTTGTGGGATCAAGATGAATCTAGCCCAAATTCTGAATCAGACGATCAAGAGGACCTGTAACACATGACAGTCCAATACCTAAGTTAAATTCATAAGTGTATGGAGAATAAAGTTTCATAGCACATTCTCACTCAAGGTCCTCCTACAAGCTAAGCCTAGGCCTACCTCTAAGTCAGTGCCCAACGCAAGGTAGACCTATGGTAGCATCTCTTCTATTCAGGGCGGATCGCTAGAATCGCCACCTGTCAAAATATAATCTATCTCCTTTAAACTAGGAAAACTTCGACAGCTCTTCCCGTAGGAAAAGCGTCTTTTCAAAATTTATACTAGCTTGAATATATAAACAAAAACAAACTTTAATTCTGGAAAGTTAAATTTTGCCTGACTCCCTGAATTAGTAAAAATTTGGGCAGCACTCCCACTAGAAAAGAAGACTTTCCAGATTTTTACTAAGTCAGATATGAACCCAGAAACAAAACCTCAGTTCAACTAAGACAGAATTTAACTGACTCCTTAGTTTTGTAAAAATTTCGGCAGCGCTCCCTTTAGAAAAGTGTTATTCCAGGATTTATACAAAGCTAAGTTCAAAAATATATAAATAACTTTGATTTCTCGAGGTCCAATTTTATCTGACTCCTTGAATTAGTAAAAAATTGGGCAACACTCTCTTTAGAAAATAAGACTTTTCATATTTTTACTAAGTCATATATAAAAATTTAGACAAGCTGAACTTTGAAAAAACAAAATCTAACTAACTCCTTGGTTTTGTAGAAATTCCAGCAGCGCTTCCCATAGAGAAAATGGCTTACCAGAATTTATACAAAACCAAGTATAACAAATGATCCCAGAAAATGCAGAAATCGACCTAAGTAGAATAAACTTGGCTCAGAAAATGCAGAAATTGAACTAACTCTTATCGCTCTAGCACGTGGCGAGCAGCTAAAGCAAGTACCTATCAAACAGAAACTCAAGCTAAGTAAATAATCTCACTCAGTCACATGCAGGTCAAACCACAAAGGTAAGTACTATCACCATCCCCAAGTAAAAATCCTCGTAGATAGTTCATGGAACTTTCGGATGATTTAGCCCTTATACCCAGCTTACATATGGCATGGAGCTAGACCATTCAACTTAGAAACAATGTCTAGCATGCCTTTAGAATATACACGAACAAGTTGCACAACTACTTTTCTCTTCTTTGGGCATATGACTAGACCATTCAGCTTAGAAACAATGCTTAGTCGCCCTGAACTGTTTAATAGTCAAACTTTAATAATTTTCTGACTTTGTTTTCAAAAGAAATGAAAATATGGGCAGGGGACTGAGCCATTCAACTTAGAAACAATGCTCAGCTTGCCCAGATTACTTCCAATTATACTCAGCACTTTCCTTTCTAGTCTTAATGATATGGCTTAGTGTTGGACCATTCAGCTTAGAAACAATGTTCAACTGTCAGTTCACATGCAAATATAAGAAAAGATACTTCTTGTTATACTCAGTTTATTCTTATGTGCGTGGTTTTCATGCTAAACCATTCAGCTTAGAAATAATGTTTAGCCTTAGACTAGAAATCCTCCCTCAAAAATAAAACAAAAGACCGAACCATTCAGCTTAGAAACAATGTTCAGTCTATCCTCAAACCATTCAAAGCATGAAGTTGGATTCTGTAGTCCAACTTCAGTTAGAAACCCCAAAAGAAACAGACAGACCAAGCCATTTACTTAGAAGCAATGCTTGGTCCCAGAGGTCCGTCAGGCAAACCCTCAGAATTAAACACAACAACCAGGTCATTCAACTTAGAAACAATGTCTGGTCCTTCAGAAAAACAGTCAAATAAACATAGCCCTGAGTCATTCAGCTTAGAAACAATGCCCAGTCCTTGGTTGACCCGGTCAAACACATCCAAACTGCCTTCCTCCCACCTTCCCCGAGTTCATCCCTTAGTCTGCTTTCAGTCAAAAATAAAGAAGAAACTTAAGCTTTTCATACGCATTCCTTTCATTTAGTCTGATTAAATCCCGAAAGAAAGCAAAATCATAGGGGAACACATGCATACAATCAGTCAAACTAAAGGGAGATAGTTAAACAGGGGTATAGGGGGTTCATACAAATAGAAAACGATATGCCAATCAGTTCCCTGCCTCCAGAACCTCGCCTAGGTTCCGGCAGACGTCCCGCAATCGATGGGTGGACTCCCCACACAGTCTTGTTGCGGTCCTACGGGTTGCAACCCCGCCTGCCGCCTTCCTGTCATAACTAGGATTAGACTTAGAGTCAGAAGGGTAAAAGGAGATAGGTTTGAGACTCTCAGATCCAAGAAAGGTGCTCTCAAACTCGCGTGAGAGGGTCTTGATTCCTTGATACGCCTGAGGGCCCCGCAATGGTGCCCAAAACGCAATTGCAGCTTGGTCAACTAAACACAACTGCTAATTGTTGACTTCCCTGACGACCTTCCAATCCGCAATAATATTCCCCTTCAACAAGCTCAGCCCCCCCCCCCACAAAAGCTTGTGGTCCGGAAAGGCCCTAGCCACCGCTCGAGCCACGGGTCGTGGGCCAAAGACACAACCCTCTCTCTCTCACGCCGCAGCAGAGTGGTAGTGTGATCTCGCTGGCTTTGCAGCATCAGAGTGTGCGCAGATGTAGGCTATGTAGCCCTCACCAAGCTATAACAAGTACTCAGTCCATGGTTGGACTCACACTACTCCGGCTGGTTTGAAGGGCAGCGCACCAGTTAATCTGCAAATTCGACAACTTCACGGTTGGCCTTAGTTCACTGTCACTGGCTCGATGGGCAGCATGCGGTCGGGAGGTAAGTCTTCAACCCGTGGCTGACTCTCCTGGCCGCTTCGACTAATGCGATAGGCGGCCCATTGGTTAGCAATTGGGCCTGCAATTTCCTCACTTCAGGCAACGCATCAGTGAGCAGGTAAGTCCTCAGTCTTACGGCTTACTCCCTCTCTCGCGCTGTCCTGTGTAGGAGAACGAGCTACGTAGTCGCTAATCGGCAAGCCTGTACTCCAATGGCTGGCTCTCAGTAACTTCGCATGACGGGGCGGGCAATACACCGGCCCACAGGTAAGCTTCCAGCTCGTGACTGGCCTCAAGCCCTTTCGATTCGACTGGTTACACGACGTATTAGCCACTTGGTAAGGCTACGGCCTCGCAGCCTCCTTCCCTCGTTGCCCTGGTTAATGAGAGAGCACCACGCCGGCTGGCCTTATAGCTGCTTCGTACGGTGCATTAGCCAGCACCCCAGTCAACATGTGAGCCTCTAATCCCCGCAACCCACCTTACGTCCGTCCTATCGATAAGTCGATCGAGTCAGAATGCACGAACGTGGAAGGTATACTGTGTCTGGTCCACCTGCTCTTCGCCAGTACCCTCCCCCGCCTGATGCCTATACTCCATGCATATCAAATCGGGCTGCAATCTCGTCCATGCACAGGTGATCCAAAAGTAACTCAGCAAAACCAAGTGCTATCGCATAGTCGCGCTCCAGTGCGACAATGCCTGCCGTGACAAGCATCAGAAGAAGAAGCTCGTCAGTAGCGAGCACTCGGACCATTGGCACGATCGAGACGAACAGCAAACCGCTTAAGTGCAAGCCCATTGTTGATTCTGGGTCGAAAGAGTTTGGTTTGCCATCGGTTTGCTCGTGTGTGCATGTTAAGAGCAAGTTTGGAGTGCAGTCTGATTTCAGAGGCAGAGCCAAAAAATGGATAGCTCTACACGAATACACAGTGAAGAAGGGAAGGGTTAGAAAATAAGATGTAGAGAGGAAAGCCCGCAGCAGGCCATTGTTGCAAGATGGGTAAAGAACCTCCAAATAGACTCAGCATGACCACAGAGTAGTACAGGCAATACCTTGGATCATCAATTAGACCCCATTGGGTAAGGAGCGTACAATGGCTGATAATCTACATGGTCGTCCCAGTAAACGCCTGGCCAGAGTCTAGATGTAAGGACGAAGATAGAACTGACTCTTCCCAACTTTGTTGAATGTACCAGGATCAAGAAAGCACATTGCCTTCTGAACTGCCAACATGCAAGATTGCTCTGGGACATATGCAAAAAAGCCTGGTACGGCTTGTCTTCCTTAGGATACCCATCAGATTTTTACTTCTCTTAACCGCAATAGATAGGGAGAACTTAATCTCAGATGAAGACGGATTGATTATAGAGTTGTTAAGGAAAACAACCATATGGGTAATCTGGAGAGCCAGATGTGCGGGAACAATAGGAAGCAAGAAAATTATGGAAAAGGAATCCTGGGAGGAAGCAAAGGGAATGATGGAAGTTGAAATCAGAGTAGGATGGAAACGCACCTTGGGAAAGATGGAGAGAGAAGAGGACAATCTGAAGAAGACCAGAATCTGGAAGGAATTTGAAGGGACATGGCTAAAAGAGGGGTTAGTAGCAGAAATAACCAGAAGAACCCTACACTTCACGGCTTGGTGGGACCTGGATAGACAGACAAAAGCACAGGACGAACGGCTCCAATGGACCTGGACTGGTAAGAGAAGAGATCCCCTCCACCCTTCACGCAACCCTTAGGGACTGGAAATTAGAAAGCCAATCGACAACGAATAGGAGCAGGAGGATGAAAATTGGGATGCTTGTAGGAGAAAGAGAGATACGGGAAGTAGGAAGTAGCAGAGGGGCTAGAGAAAGAAGAGGTATGAAGAAATAGAGCATCCCAGCAGAACATGAGAAGTCACAGAACAGTGTAGGAAAAGACACCCCCATGAACAGCCCCGAAGCAAACCAGTGCAGCGCACAATGGACACAACAGGCATATACCTCATGGAGAGACACTTTGGTAATCGTACACCTACTTCAGACTTTCAGCCATATCTGTACAGATTATGAAATGAAATCGCTATTATTGATTTAGAAAGAACACTTCTTTATTTACGAAGCGCTTGTAATTTCATTGAGTATATAATTTTGCAAGGAAGATGAGCATTAGCGAACTTCATCAATCAAACAGCATCATACATATGAGCCCAGATAGTCTTGACCTCGAACCACAGCAGACTTGCATCACGAGATACACCAAATAAGAACACACCAAGAGTTCAAAATTGACAATGCTGAAGTAGTCCCATCATCATCAACTACGAACCAGAGTTGATATCCTATTGGCGCTCGGCGCCCAGACTACATGTGGCAGATCCTATCTAGCCTATACTACGAAGCAGAATGATGACATCAACAGCGTTCCCGAAGTACGAGCATATGGAGACCAATGTCGCACGCTTCAGCACCAGGTATGTCTCTCGTAACACTCACAACCCCGATCCACACCGCACAGATGCCACTAGCACCCCAAGGACCACCCTGCGCTTCACCTAGCATACAGCAGCGCAGCTTGGCTATGGCTGCGTGCTCTCTCCTACTCGCCCGTGAGAGAGTGAGTGCCAGCCAGCCAGCGGATTGCGCAGCAGCGCTCACGCAGCATGCAGCCAGCACCCGAATGTCGAATGAGGAAGCAGGCCCTTCCCTATATCGAAGTGGCCTGCCTGCGTCCAGTCCAGGAAGCTTCCGGTAGGCCCCCGGTAGGCATAGGCCCAGTCACAAAGAGAGCAGGCCTTGGGCCTGAAGTGGTTGCATGCGCCCAACTGCTTTCGGCCTGTGTTTGGCCCGGTACCCGTATCCAGCCCAGGGCCTGCTTCACATTCATTTACACAGGCGGCCCAGGGCCTAGATTCATTCAACCAACTGGCGCAACACAACTGTCTGAATTTCCCCGATGCGGGGTACCCTGAAGAATGAGGCCCGAAGGGCCTGTCGTGCCTGCCTTCACTTAGGGCGGCCGACCTTGTTGCAGATAGGGCCCCGTAGGGGCTAAGCAGGCGTAGCCTCGCATTCCCTCCTCCATATCTTCGTTAGTCCTCTGCGAAGATCAATCTTGAGCCATCTGCCGCTTTCCTTTCAATACATCCTTCTCATAGCGGGCAACGATTTGAGGAGCGGTCTGCATCAATTCCTCCCGAGTAAACCATCGGTCCTCTTTCGGATCTGTGTGATGTCTGAAGTAAACACGGAACTGCAGTTTTGGCTTTGGAGGATGTCCCCTTCCTGGAGGCTTCTGAACAGGCATCTCCCTATGGTCGACGATATCATCGATGTCGACTTCTCTGTCCATGGTTGGGGGCAGCATTGACCGACGAGAGGGAAACTGATCAGTTTCCTCGAACGCAGCGAGCTTAGAGGCGTGAAAGACAGGGTGAGTT